TCAGCCCTGAGAAAATCTTTCTGTACTTAGGTTCCATGATCATGCTTCTAAATTACTGTTGAAAACGCTTCCCCAAAAGGTGAGAGTTTGTTTCTAGGAGACAGAACTAGCTTCAGAGGAAAGTCAAATATTAAATATTCCTCTCTGATGCTGCACTCACATAACCTTTAGATACCTTCAGAAAGGATGGTGCACACTGGGACTACAAACTTCCCCTGTGTTGGCCCAAGGGAAGGGGTGCTGGGCAGGCATCAGAGAGAGAAGGGAGATCGCTCCTCAACTTTCTCATGGTTCATTTAGTAAACAAAGCATTGCAGGCTGGGGACAAACAGGCCCGAGAGGTGGGAAGGCTCTGCCTGTCTGTCACTTACATGTACTTCATGGACAATCAGATTATGGGAGGACAGTAAAGTGCTGGGACAGTTACTGAGACATCCCAGCAGGCAGGGGGTGCAACTCAAGACACGCAGTCTCGCCAAGTAAGATCTCGCTGTTAAAATCCAGCCTCATCACTACGCTCAGGTAAGTTTCTCCATCCTTGTTATTTGTGATTTGAAGACTTGGTTGGGGCTTTGCTTTCTCTGCCAGGTCTAAATCAGGAAGTGAATTCTGCTGTTGTCTCCATTATCTGCCATCTGCTGACCAAGATAGCAGGCAGATCAAAGTTCACTAAGGAAAATGCCAAGTTCTCGCAAGTTTGTGGCCCAGCAATGCGTTATGATGACATTTAAACAAGTCTTCACTTACTAGTTATTTCAGTTTTTAAGTGAAGCAGAAGCAATTATTTATGCTTATGTGATTAACATTTTAAAAAAGCATTATATTCACATAGTGCAAATGTAATAAATGGGTTTGCAGGCAAAACTAAAACAAGCTAAAATATCTATAAATCCTTCAGTCCAAATTTCACCTTAATGGATGACTCTGAGTTTTGAGTTCGCACATAGTATCAAGGCCCAGTGAGTAAGAATATATTTTTATATTCAGAAAGAGACGAGTGGACGTGTGATGCAGTGTGTGTGAATCTGGGGGCTGGCGAGGGGAAGGATTTCGGGTTCTGAGCAGGGAAGCTGGGCTGTTCTCTGAAGGCTTGGGTAACTGACACCTGAAATAATACCCCAAACTGGGGCTTCCTGGCATATTACAAATACTTTTATCTTTCAGATTTCTGAGATCTTCTACTGCATTTTCAAAGAAGTAGTGAGAATATCTAAAGGAAAGATATCTCCAAAAAGACTATTTCAGCAACTTTAAAATTTGGAAGAACTGGCAGGTAAAGATCACTCGTGCCAGAGCAGAGCATGTGGACTGCAGTAAGTCCTGGGTCTCCCTTCCGTGCTGGTTCTATAAGACAGAGTGGATCTGTTCCTACTTAGATGGAATCAAATTTATTCAAGCTCAAAATTCTGTCTTTTAAAATCTCATCCTGAACTCGTCAGAGAACCCCAAGGTCACGCTGACAGCCACGATGCCCAGTGGCATTAAATAAATGTGGAACTGCCCAAGGGGGGCTTTTCCTTTTTACTGCATCACCCATGCTGCTAATCTTCCCATGATTAGTTTTTCGATGTAAAATGTCCTGGATTATGAGACTAATTCCCTACCTGACCCACTCATAAACAGTTTTGTAAGAGCTAATTTTAGCCTTCTTCGGCCACCAGAGACATTTTAATTTATAAAAGTGCTCCCATGCCTAAGGGCCTGTCACCTGCCACCTAGGCACCCCGCATGGCACAAAGTGACAAGTGGAGCGGATGTGCATCTGGTGGAAAGATGACAGCGAGGGTGTGGGTTTTCTGTTTTAGCTGGTAGGCAAGAAGGGAAGCATTATGAAAAATCGAGGAACACACACACACACACACACACCGTGCTCTGTGAACCTCGGTATTTAACATTTCACTGGAGCTCGTGAGCCACTCCTAGCCCTGACATTTCATGATGGAGTCTTCCTATGTGCCCAGTGATACCCCGGGCATTTGTTTTGGCCATAATACTTCTCATTTATGGAATTCTTCTAGTTCATAAGACAGGCCACATTCGTATTTCACTTGCTTCTCACCATAGTTCACTGGGATACGAAGAACAGGAATCATTACCTACACTTCATAGATCAGTAAAAAGGAGCAGAGAGTATAATCGTACACCCCTGAGTGGTCCCAGTCAAAAGTTGCTGGCACCGTGGATTTTTCTCCCTCCTGGACTTTGAGTTCAGGCACCCACACTCACCCACACTCACACACATTTGAAAAGACATTTCTAAAGAAAAACTCATGAAAATTAAAATTATACTTTCAGCATCACCTCTCTGAGGTGAGCTAAGATATACAGGTACTACTCTGGTTAATAAGCAAAAACATACTTTTTAAAAAAGAATGATATCTTTTTTAGACAAGAGAAAATATTTCATAGTAACCAAATACAAAGTATAGAAACTGAGCTTGCTGGAAAGAAGACAGACTCGGAATAGGATTGCTTTAATTGCAAAATTCCTCAGCACATTTAAATATGGTGATTTATGAAAATCTGATTCATACACAACTTTACAGGAATACATCTGTTATAGAAATCCAGGCTGGCTCACCTGTAATTTACTCTAGAGGAAACGACTGAGTGATAATAATAACAACATGCTCACATCATCTTTCATTACAGATCTTAATGCGCTTCCCCTAATACATTGCATTTGTCTGGGTGACCTTTGGAGGCAGGCAGAGAGGGTATTATCCTTTCTTTACAGATGAGAAATTGGGGTTACGTGCCTTGCCCAAGGTTAGACAGACACCATTCATTTGTGCCCTGAGTGATGCGGTTTTAACGGGGGAGTCGATGAAGTTAGCTTCTTCCTATTTTTCTAACCAGCTGTGAAGGCTCTTAAAACAGAGGCAGATGATCTCACAGATACAACTCTGAATGAAAGAAGCCAGACTCAAATGTGTACATACTGTATGATTCAATTAATACAAAATTCAAATGCAGGCAAAACTAATCCACGGCGACAGACGTAAGGACGGGAGTTACCGTTGGGATAAGGACTTAGGGGTCGGGAGGCTTAGGGTGAGGGTCTGCTTATTGATCTGGGCTGTACACTGTGAGGTTTGCCTTGTGAAAATTCACGGAGATGTACGCTATATCTGTCTCTGTTACAGGTTATAAAAATGTTTACTTACAAAAGGGCTTTACATCTTTAAAAACTAATTTGTAGATGCACTTTATCATTAGATACATCTATCCTTGTGTGTGATTTCCATTAAGTTTAAGTGCATTTTAAAAATATGAACTAAATCTGGAGTTTCAAGACAGAAGAAAAGGTTTATAGAAAATATAACCAGAAAAGGACTTTTGTGCTTCTGAGACAGGGTTTCACGGTGCAGTTCTGACTGGCCTTGGACTTACATATAGCCCAGGCTGGGCTCGAACTTGCAGTGGTCTCCCTGCCTTGGCCTCCTGAATGCTGGGCTTAGAGGCATCACCACGCCCAGCTATGAAAGTTTTTATGTGAGGCCGAGTACAGTGACACACACCTTTAATGCCAGCCACTTGGCAGGCTGGGGCAGGAAGGCTGTCAGATACAAGGCCAATGTGGACAACCTAGTGAGACTGTGTCTCAAAATAGAACTTTAAAAAGGAGGTAGGGCAATAGTTAAGCAGTACAGGACTGGCCTAGCATGCACAAGGCCTTGGGTTCGGTTCCTAATACTAAAAAAAAAAAAAGAAAAAAAAAGAGGGAGAGAGAGAATTTTCCCCTCATATATATTAAGTGGGAAATCGGGGCACATTAGGAGAATAACACAACTGATTTAGGACTATGTCAAACATTTGTATTTAATGACCTCAAACTAGGAATTGCATGCAGCTCAGTGGGGAGGATGTACTTAGCATGTGCAAGGCCCTGCCTCAATTTTCAGCATCAAAAATACAGCAAAACCCCAAAACAACAATAACAACCACCCACAATACCCCAAGAAACTAGCAATCGTAGGAAATGGGATTATGTTGCTGTTCATGTAGTACATCCCCAAGAGTATATGTAAATTCAAGGGAGGTAAGACTACGGTGTTTAGAACAATGCCCGTCTTGGTTCAGAACGCTGCACACCAGGAGGCGTCAGGGTCGGAAGACCGAGCCAGTGACAAACCTGAGCTGGAGCGAGATGAACAAGCTTCCCGAAATCCAGACAGGTCTCCACGCGAGAGGGAACGGGAGGAAAACATTCCGACAGTTTTCCAGGAAGGAAATGACAGGTGCTTGCAACTGCTTAAGGCAATTCCTACCGTAGTTTTCCAAGAATCCTTCGTGCTTAAGTGACTTGTAATACTGGGAGTCAGGGCTGCACTTCTCCTGACGTTACCACTGACGACACGTTTTTTCTTTTTCCTTTCTTTTAAAAAACTTCATGATAGTCCCCGGAATGATGGACGTCAACATCCATCCTGATTGTAGCGCACAGGCACCGGGGCCTCAGGGTGGCGGCGAGATACCGCCCTGAGTTCACCCTCCAGGGGCTTGGCTGGCAGCCAGGCGCGCAGTGGGGGCGGCGCTTTTGTGCTGCGTTTACTAGCGCCTCGCAGGGTACGCATCTCCTGCCCCCGCAGGACGCGAGCCACGCATTAGGCAGCAGACTGCAGATCGGCGCCCTGGCCAGCGTGAGGCCCTCTGGCGTGGGCAGAGATGGCCCGTGCCTCCCGAGTGGAGGAAGCGACTCCGGTAAGGGTCTTCACACCCTCGCATCTCCTCACCGCAGAGCCCCTGGCCTTCCGTGGCCCCCTTGCCCTGTCTGCACCGGACCTTCCGGTCCTCCCGCATCACTCCTGACACACGTGTGGTCCTGTGGCCCCCGTGGGCAGCAGAGAGGCCACACCACGCTTCCTTTCATCAGTTTCCACATTTCTGTTCCGGCTCACACAACAGATGCGATTGTCGCGTATTAGCTCAACTAGGGTCTTTAATACCCCGAGCTTCCATCATTTTTAGCATTGAAAAATGTAAATCAAGATACTTGCCATTAAGCCTTGTTCTCCGGGCTTCCCTGGTTCACCCTTAAAAAAAGAACAGGGATAATGTTAGTAATTATTTTCTTTTTCCTAGCACTCCCCACAACCCACAGATAAGTACTTTAAAAAGATGAAATAAAAGAACGCACATGGTACAGAATTTAAAGAGATCTGCCGTCCTTTTTTCAAATACATTTAGTAGATATCTTAGGATTTAATAAAGTCAGTCTATTCATGTATTTCTATTGGTAGCTGTTTGCAACACATGACCATTACACGCGTCCTGGGGAACTGGTCCACGTCTGCATCCCCCCTTAGTGTCACTTCCCCTCCCTCCCTGCCTCTGTCCCAGGACCTCTCCCCAGCTCCACCACGCCCGGCCCCCTGCTTCCTGTCATCGAGGACAGGGCCACGTCCTGGTTACAGTGACATAAAGATGACAGCGTGCATCTTCCCTATGAGAACTCATAAGTTTCGATGGAGGACACAGCCAATTGCTCTTAGGTGGGAATTATATAACAAAATGTGCATGGATTCATTTTAAACCTTGGGCCTTATGAATCAATAATGGTTGAAGTGCCTTGTTTTATTAAAATCGATACAGAGGGCTGGGGATTTAGCTCAGTGGTTCTGGTGCCTGCTGCGCAAGCCCAAGGTCCCGAGTTTGATATCCGGTACCAAAAAAAACAACCAAAAAACCCCCTAAAATGGATACACAAAAATCTGTTCTACCACTATCATTTTCTAATTCTCAGATCAAAATTGAATCATGTTTTATTGCCACATTATTATATGACAGTCCTGGGCTACAGACATTTGACTGCAAACCTGTGTTTGGAAAGCCAACATATGCAGCCATTGCTGGTGGTCTCAGATTATTTTTACAAAAAAATCTTTCTAGCAGTTATGACAACATGTATACATTAATTCAAAGACTATAAATTAAGTTCAAATTATATTTACAGAATCTCTTTTTAAAAAGTCAATTTGTTCTTTGTGTAAAAAACCCTACTTCTTAAATGAATAAACTATAGTGATGTTTTTGGATTTTTTTGTCACACCTTACCTTTATCTCTGTTTCTTAAAAATAATTTCTACCTTAAATTAGATTTCTGTTATTGTATACAATACTCAATGATATGAATAGTTTTGTAGCATCAAAATGCTTTTAACCAGTTTAAAGAGACTCCACTAACAACTAGCAATCAATGAGAGTGCTTGAAATATCCCCAAATCCATGAACCTCTCTATCCTCAGTGGTATCACCCGTGGAAATGCTGAGATACAAGCAGACAGTTTTGGGATTAAACCAGTGTTGGAGGTCCAGGGAAAGTGTTCCCAATAGCTACTCATATGCAGAGTCCATTCTTCCTCTCCTGCGAGCCAATGCCCAGCAGGGAGAGGGGCTTCTAACAAGGTTACCTCAGCACAGTCTAACTATCTTACACTCTGACAAAGAGGATCACTCTTTGAAAACAAAATATAGCTATATGCGTTATACAATGGAAAGAAAAAATACTAGAGCATTAATGATTGTGGCTGATTTGTTTTGAATTTATTTTTAAAATTTTCTACTTTGTGGACAAAATTTTCATAACTTTTGTGGTATAAAAGCAATAAAATAATTTAAATTAAAGGAATACACTCAATAAAACAATTCAGTAATAAGCCCTAATTTCTAGTCCCAAAGTCATAATACTAATCTACTTTTTAATTTTCATATATATTTTTTTAAACTGTTGGTTTGCCTCTATGAACCATTTATCTACTGTCCTGTACTTTGACACTTGACTTAGTAACTAAGCACTGAGAGCATTTTGATTGATGTCTATTAATAAGGCTTATATGCTAGGGACAAGTGCTATTAAAATCATAACCAGTGATATTTTAACCATTAATTTTACTGTTCTTATTAGCTTTTTTCGGGTCAAGTTATGTACAAGGAATTAAATGTTAGAAAACTTTGCCTTTGCATTCCATAAATAGTATGAAACTTTGTTGTATTTGCTGTGGACCTCAGCAACTTGTCAGCCTCCCACTGCCTTTTCCAGTTATCTTTCCCAACACCCCAGGCCTGAGCCCACCCTGAGCCAGATGTGGGAAGGGGGTCCTCAGACCACAAGTGCTTCAGACTCACCTGTGCAGGTCCTTGGGGTTCCCGATGGATGGCGGGAAAGTGGCACACTGCTGGCAGTGCCCTGCGATGCTCAGAGACTCCCCTGTCACCCCACTGCCCTCTGCACCCCCGCACGCCTCACCCTAGGCTGGACAGCCCCTCACCACCCTACCAGTCCCGCTTCCCTCGACAGCAGGGTCCCAAAGCCACTCACAGGCACTCCTGGCATCCCTCGGGGGCCGTCCTTCCCGGTGTCCCCAGGGGGCCCTCTGGGACCTGGAGGGCCTGGGGGTCCCGGGGGCCCTGCCTGGCCTTGGTCACCCTGCAATGGAGAAGGGAACAGACAACAATAATCAGGAAAGATTAATCCCCAGGTCTTCTTTTCGACACTTTGAATTCCCATTATCTAATCCACGTTTATACCCCGAGAAGAGCCAGAGCCACCAGAAATCAAGCCTGCAGGCAATTTACCTGCCAGCAGGGAGCAAATAAATATTCATGCTGGGCAAGCGATGAGATGCTATTACAGCCAAAGCAGCCCCAGTGCAGGCCCGGTCGGAAACTTTGTATAACTTAATCTACCGCAATACTGAGTTCTAGTCACTGCTTAACAAATGGCTGCATTTGTAGCTCAACAAATATATTTACATTTCATAACCAACAAAATTAAGCAGAGGAGGCTCCTGGCAGATTGTGTAATAATTGATAAGTAACCAAAGCTCGAGAGATTAGAAATAGGATCTATTACTAGTTAGAAGTTAAGATTTTTAAAATTTAAAATTTTGATGTCTCTTTAATTTGGTACTTTCGTATACGTTTCAAATGCAGCTCATCAAATAAAAATTTATTCTAAGATATTTACAAATAAAGACACCCCCAACCCCACCCCACCCAGGAGGTAAACAGTGAAGCAACAGCACCCGGAGCAATAACGAATGTAAGAAGAATCAGACTCCAGCCAGAGGAAGCACTACCTTAATCAGGCGGCGTTTAATGAGCTGCTGATCAGCAGAGAGAAAGCCATGATTGATTTTAGGAAACACCATCTGATCAGTCAGGTGAGGTCAAAGGTTGAAGTTCAGAGGTGAGAGAGTTGAAGAATAGACATCAGAAGGCCCCGAGAAAGAAATAGAGACACGCATTAGATTACAGCAAGCGGAACCGGCACTGTCTGGGTCCGACCCGCGGCTCTTCCGAAGGAACCGGGACCCTGGAATGCCAGGGGGAGGCCGACTTCGGTTGGAAAGCGGCCCTTCTCGGACCCGTGCTACACATGGTGTCGGCCCCACTCCCGGAGGAGCTGAGCTGGGCAGGCCTGGGCCCGAGCAGAGTCGCCACAGCCAGGGCCAGTTCCGTGTCCACCAGCCCGCGGCCAGCACACAGGGGCGCGAGCCCGCCTGCCGTGGGTGGCGCCGAGGCCCGGCTGCCTCGCTCCGGGGAGTCCAGGGGTCCTCCGGCCTCTGACGGCGGCGGCGGCTCTCGCTCCCCGGGGGCTGACCGCGGGCCGGACCGCGGGCCGCGCGACCACAAACCTTGACGGTGAGGATCTGGTTGCTGTGCAGGGCGGCGACCGTGGGGAAGCCGGGCAGGCCCTAGGGACAGCCAGCGCCAAAACACACAGCGTCACGACCGGGGACAGCGACACCAGCGCAGCCCAGCGCCCCCTCCCGGCTGGGCAGAGGAGCCACCCTGCCGCGGCCTACGGGAGGGACAGCCGACCCGCAGCCTGCACGCCCCGGAGCGCAGTCTGTCCTCAGCAGTGTGAGCACAGAGCGCAGGCCGCTGCCACACCGGGTCCCGTGGGCGACTCACAACACACAACACGCGTGTTGTTTTGTGGACACCAACAGTGAACCCACTTTGGCTGTTAGATCAGAATAAACTAAATGGTTCCCAAACAGCCTTCCCACCCGCATAACCCAGTTTCTCTGGTCACCCCGTGACTCGCGAGCCACGGGGATGTGCCTCGGGCTTCTGTGGCTTCCTTCCTGTTGGTCCCCTCTTCTCACCCAATTCTATTTTGAGGACAGTTTTTAGGAAAAGCCAGAAAGCTTCCAGGGTTTTAATTTTATTCGTTCTGTGGATATTTTTCTTACTTTTCCCCATGTGAGGGAAGACATGCTTTTTTTTTTTTTAAACAGAGCCAATAAAATCAGGTTTGTCGTATGAAGACTTTTTTTTTTTTTAGCCCTAATGCCTTTCATTCTTGTTCTATAGCATTATGACTTTTCAGGAAGCAAGTCAGAGGAAATCGTCTACCTCTGACCAAATCCGCTCTGATAAGGCTATTAAGTGGCTGGGTAGTTTTGAAGTGACCTGTGTCCTTCTCTTCTAAGAGTCTTCTAAACACAGACTCTACACAAACTCAGGAATACTACAAGTTGGAAACCAGATGTGTACAATTTGCTTTTGTTTTACTATGGAATATGAGTTTAAAATGTTATTAGATGGTGATGTGCCAGCGTCTTTCCATCTGCGACTCATTAGCCCTATATTACACAGTCCGAATTTTATACATAAACCTCATATTTATGTAACAAAGAACAAAAACAGATACAAACAAGACGTCTATGAGGGATCAGAATCATGATTAGTGGTGATAAATCATAATGTCACTTGAGACACGATTATCTAACAAAATAATTTTAAATTAAAATCTTTTAACAGCACACATGGTAGGCCTTACAAATGTTTTGAAATTTAAATGTCTAAGTAAGTCACTTCTTGTACTTACATTTGAGCATGACCAGGTTGCTGTGTCAACATATTTTTAAAATGCACACCCAAATAAAAATACTAAGTTTTACAGCTTTTTTTTTGGCTTTTTTTTATTAATGAGTTCCACTTTGGCAGATTCTGACACGCACATAATATAGTTGATCATTTTTACCCTGCTTGGTTTGGGTTCTAAAGAGGGAGGTGGATGTGTAATTCTCAGTTCAGATGGTTCCTTCCCTGCAACTGGAACTCTACCTGACCAGCTCTGTCCACGCCTGTCTTTATTCCTCAATCAGCCTCACTGTGAAAATGCTGCCAGCTAGCTGCTTACAGGGCCGCTTTGCAGGTCTCATAAAGGACTTCATATGTTTCACGTAGCAAAGGAAAAATACAGACAGCCAGAAGGATTCATTTCAATTTCAACCAAAGTCCCTTGGTGTGGGCTGCGACAACCTAACACCCTGAGCTGTTCCGAGTGGGGAAGTAACCCCAAGGGCACAGCCAGTGTCCCAGGGCACGGCTAGGGCAATAACTGACACGGCACATTTTCCCAGAAAGTCCATTTTTAGGGTGAATAATTTTAAACATTTTTATGTAAAGTAAGCCATACATTCCGGGGTGGAATACAAATCTGCATGCATTTTAAAATAGCATCATTTGATGGGGATACCTCCAGCTCATAGGTAGACCCTGTGTGTTGCTTGCAGAGTTAATTTGAAAAGCCTGGTGCCGAGTATTTATCTTCAGGACACAGCTTCCTATGGCTATAAACTGCTAGGCTCTTCATATAGAGAATTCACTTTTTCATTAACTATGCAACCCCCCCTCCAGTATCATTAGTCATAGTCCTTTCTAAATAAATAAAATGGACATATTTCACATGGTTTCACATCTCAGAAAACTTGCCTGGTACACAGATGGTCAGAGTGGGTGTGGAAAAAAATGTGTCTCTTAAAAAACACGGAGAAATGATCCAGAAGAAGCTGAAATACTGAAATCATTTGCACGCACTTTCACCCCAAAATATTTTGCATTCTAAAGGAACTAGATGTACAAGTGTGTAATATGCACTACCTTACACAGCCCACGTTCTTACCCGAGAGCATAGAGGCTCACAACAATGTCATAAAACCTCCAGGCACTCTGTGTAGGAGGTAACCAATTCAAGGTCAGGGTTTTTCATTATTTGAAGGAGGCTATATCCCTTTTTATTACCTCCTAGAAGGAAAGGTGCATGTGTACCCCAAAAGAATATTGAATAATTCATAAGAACTGGTTCTATTTAGGGCCCATAAATCCAAGCTGTTATTGTCATTTCTACTGTACACTCAGTAATGATGAGTGTTATACAGTTACATTACAGTGAGAAAACTGTGTTTTGTTAAAAGCACTCAATAAGGCAAGATAGAGCCAGAAATGTAACCCTTGACTTCTAATTCTAGACTTCGTCTTTATGCAATTTATGAATTTATGATTATTTTGTTCTACTTGTTTTAGAGTTTAAATATTAGCAAGCTTAAAAACTAAGACTCAGAAACATAAGAAGTGTTTGTTGAGTGCCTTCCGTGTGGCATTTGCTGTGTTAGGCCCCGGGGTCTGCATGGTGAGCAGGATTCCAAGCTCACAGTGTGTAACATCTAGTGGCGAGAGAGGGGAGAGGAAGCAGGCAGTAGCCATACCAAGCGACAAGCACTATGATGGTGAACTTGGCTGCAAAGGCAACTAGCTGTGCACCCAGCACTGGGGAAACGCCCGAGCCAGGTGAACTTGGTGCCTAGCTTGGTACACCAAGACTCAGATTGAAGACAGAGATGCTAGATGTTGCTACAACAGCTTCATTGCAGGACTGTGTCTAGGACTCTGAGGGACAAACTGGCCTTCCAGCATTACCAAGACCAAGTTCTCCAGACCTGCACCTTTGCTAGGAACCCAGGGAAGATAAGCAGGGACCGGTCCTCGTGCCCAGCCTGAGCTGTGGAGGGATGGCAGGGAGTTACCAGAGGAAGGTGGTGCTAACACAGGCCATGTCACAGATGATGAATTCAGTGCAGGATCTGCTCGAATTGTGCTGTCCACGGATGTCAAGAGGCAGCAGATGAAAGAGGAGAGGTAAAATCAGAAGTCGAATGACTGTATGAAGTCACCCGGGGAGGACAAAGGGATGAGCAGAGGAAGAGGCAACTGCCAGGAGGATTCTACAGAGCTGTGCCAGAAACAGGAGGAAGGCAAACTTTTTTCAGAAAGAAATGATATGGGGAAATTACTCAAAATGACAGATACAGACTTGTTTATTGCTTTATTATGCTGCATGAGTGCATATAAATGGCCCGCAGTGGCAAGAGGCTGAGGGTGGCCAATGTCACTGGAAACAGAGGCTCATTAATAAGCACAAGGCAGTGTAGCCGGGACCATACAGGTATGGGAAACAGTGAAGACTTATTTTAATCATGAAGGGCCAAGGCACCTCAACAGCAAATCTGGTGGGAAGAAAACAATGCACTGTGCTAGGAAATGAAAATCTTCATGCTTGTCCATAATGTCCACGATCGTGATTCTGTTTGCTCAAAATATATCATGCATTACAACATAACCATTACAGTGGGCACGTGTGCAGGATAAAGACAAATATTCCTGGAAGCTGATCAAATGATTTCTAGTGAAGAGAGACCAGATGGGGAATATAATAATAGAATATGAAAATATTTAGGTAAAAGAATCACTTTAGTTTAACAGCAGGAACTGTTAGGAGGCTAAAAGAAAAAAGTTTGCTGCTAAATCGTTCCATATTTCAGTAGATACTATAATCTCTGTGTCTGAAGAGAAAAATCACCCGTACAAGGCTAAGTAGCTAAGAAAATCCTCTCACTAAACAACATGAGAAACAGAGCCTGTGAAAATCAGAATTTATAACTTATGGAAAAAGATTAACTTATAGAAATATTAATTATGGAAAAAAGTGTTACCTGGTTGTTGTATATAATATTTTCAAGTTGCTCAGAAAACCCAAGTTTTGTATATATTCTAAGTCCCTTTCTGTTATGTTCTACCATAACTGTTAACCCAAGTCACTGCAGTATATCTTTTTGATAAATGTGAATTTCACAAACTGTTTCAAAGAGAGAACAATGTAATCCCTATACTGGCAATTGTCATTGAATACCCACATAGCTACTAAAATGCTAAGTAAAGATAAATTACAAAATATCTGTGTGGATAAGAAAGATGGCAGATGAATTCTAACACCGGCAAGTGCAAAGTGTAAGAAAAATTGTCCAAGCTACACTCACAGGGCGGAAGGCTCTACTTGTCTTTTAAGGGTTTCCCACGG